CATTGTCCTATCATGATATAGGCTTACACATTTGAACGAGTAGGTACCAGCCTTGAGAAGTAGTTTATATACTTATTTCATAATAGTTCCAACAGCTGATTGCAATTTCTTGATTAGCCATTCGTCTTTTCGTTGTTGTTACTGCTTCCATTTCCGTATTCTCTTTTTCAAACTGCTTTGAGATGCTTTACTTGTGCCGATGGTCTATCAGATCCAGTCTCTAAAATTATGAGATAGGGGTAAGGTCTGCCTACACTCTACCCTCCCAGATCTCACTTGTGGGATTCCATTGGGTATGTTGTTGTTTAAACTTGAACAACCAAAGGAAGTGTTGATAAACTTCTGCTGTTAGGTACTTAATGGTGCTATCTTAATGATAAAATGTGTCCCCTTTTTTTCCGTATCAAAATACTGAAGGACTAGCCAACTGTGTGCTAACACAGTCTTAGTAATTGGTTGTTCTTATTCTCTGGCTCTTTAATTGTCAATATAGTTTTTGATTATTCAATAACATTTCATGAATGGTTACATTTCATATAGTAAATATATGGTTTTGTTCTCCTAGGTAAAAATTCATATGCACTATCAATTTTAAGGAGAGTGGAGATGAAGTTAGATGGTCGAGATGTAGCTGATAACAGGTATATCCTTCCCATGAAAACTTTAGATGAGTATCTTATAGTAAATGTGAATGACCATGTTGGTTTATATTTCTCCTCAGGGAAATCAGTGTTGCAGAACAAGTGGATTATCTGCTCAAGCAAGCAACGAGTGTAGATAATCTTTGCAACATGTATGAGGGCTGGACACCTTGGATTTGAGCTGGTGAACATTATTCTTTTTTTCAACACGAGAGCTCTTTTCATGATATTCTGTGATACATTGAAGAAGCTCTGAGGTATATTGGAGCTTAGTCTCCTGAACCACAAGATGCATGTTGGAACTTTGACTTCCTCATTTCAAGAGACGTGGCAATTGGCAAGCAAATATAGGTGAGAAATATTCTATTAATCTTGTTTAATGTTTTCTCTAGGTGTACCTAGATAATCTTGTTTATACATCCTGGATCTCCTTGTAACTAGGAGGATTGGTAGTTTTCTGATGCAGTCTGTGCAAGCGAATTTGAGGATCCAATTTGAAGGCTGTAGGTAGAGTACTCTCATCTTCTCCATCTGCATGTTCTTCCTTTACATGATGCCTTTTGAGAAACTGCTGTGTGTTCCTTATTTGAATCTGCATATGTGCAATACCGGAACGCAGCAATTTGATCATGGTTCAAACACAGTTGGAAGACAATATAATGTTGCTTCGAAGGGTAGCATGATCCATCCATATCCACTAATTGGCAATAATAACCTTTTCAAAGTATCATCTGGTAAGATGAAAATCTGGATGTCGAGCTGTGGTTTCTCTCAAGTATTCCTTTGCATGATTCTATAGCATTTATCAATGAGTTGAATAGCTTGTGGAACTGTGTCTAGAATGACCTTTCAATGTGTAGGTGTTAGCTTTATTTTAGATGTATTTATGCATGGATATGTACGCCATGCTCTTTAAGACTTATTACACTACTCTTCAATTGTTTGTGCAAGTTTTTGTTCTGAGCCTGCCTCTTGTTTATTTGTTTGATAGGTCTATTGGTCACTTCCTATTTGATGCTGACGAAGCAATGTGCATTTGCAACAGCTGCTTATAGACTTTGATGTGGGTACATTATTAGCTCCTGCTGTTGCTAGTTGGGGTCTGGCTTTACCATGAAGCACTTGGTATATCCTGTAAATATCTGTAATGATTGTAAATGTTGAGAGATTTTACTGCACAGCCATATTGGAGCAAGTGGCTGGAACGGACTCCTGATCTCTGTACCTGCCACCATCGTCCATCTCTCGATCATACTGTCATTGGCCACTGGATGCTCACAGGGACGAGATAGGAAAGATATAAATGCACTTTTTCAAGTCTCTGGGAGTTTGCTGGACCCACAAAGTTGCTTTTTTGGGAAATTAGACGAGTGGAATCCAAATGGCCCTTTCAAGTATTGTATAAATGGAAGTAGTAATTTAATAGATTACAACAGCTCCTAGATTGTTGTCAAAAAAAAACAAATTACAGTTAGGTTTGTAAATTAGACGAGGTGTTTTACTGGTATAACATGGGATAATGCACACAGATATTTGTGAATCTGTATAACTAACAAACAAACTCAAAAGAAAAAAAGAGACGCACTTTTCAGTCTTTTTTCTTTCAATCACATTCAATGATATATATGAACAGTGACATGAGATATTCGAACAAAATATCTATGCAATTTTCTCTTTTTCTTCTTGTGATGTGAGGTTGAAAAAGTTTAGAAAGGAAAATAAAGACAAGAAGAAGAATGTGATATTTATGAGTATGCCAAGTTAGTCACGCAATACGGCTCAAGTTGTAGTAGCTGTAGAACCCATCTTCACAAATGGCTCCAAATCAACCCCGTCTTGTAGTGGCAAATCTAGAATTTCTAAAATAGGAACTAAAAAAAGATAAAATGTATTAAGTGGGAATTGATCGTTAGTTAATCAATATAGGGTAAATTGCTCAATACCTGAGACCAAGCAGAGCAGTATAAAAATAATTATGGAGGTGCGGGGAATCGAACCCCGTGCCTCTCGCATGCGAAGCGAGCGCTCTACCATATGAGCTACACCCCCCCTCGCCTTTTATACTCTCACATTATAATTCTTGTAAATATATTCTATTCATGCCATATTTTCCTTCAATAATTTGTCCTTCCAACAATTTTTTAACTAATAAGTGTATGAAATTTGAGAATTGCATATTTACTCAAATTCTATAATATTTTTAAACTAATTGTTTATTTACTTATTTCCTCGTCTTTAATAGTTATCCCATTATAATTTGTTTGTCTTATTTTTGTTTTTTTAGTCCGTTTAAAATAGAATGTTTATTTCCTTTTCTATCAACTCTTTAATTTCAACTTTCAATTTGGTATGTCTAATACCACAAGGTTAAAACACATTTCGATACGTTCTACATACATTTAGTTTAACATTACAAAACTCAAAATAACTATTTACTTTCTTAAATTCAATGTCGAGTCAAAAGTAAGAATACTTAATTAGTTCTTATATCAATCAATAACACAATATTTTAAATATATTTCTCTGATAATGGTACAGTGCTTCAAATATTAGTTGTTTTAGTTTACAATAAATATAAATAATGGAAGTTTCTTATCATCACAACTCAGCAAGTATTAGGCAAATTAATAGATACAAATTACTAATAAATAACAAAAATAAAAAGTTAGGCAAATAGATAATTAGAAAAGGTCATAGCAAACACGTCTGGAAAGTCACCTCTATCAATACTCTTTTGTAGTGACTTGGAATGCAATAATTTCATATACATTATTGGATAAGATCATACACAATATATTTATGAGTCATGCGTACACGTCCAATTCGGATTGGCTCTTTTTTTTCCGTCTAATCCTCCACTATTCGTGACTCGAATCCACAATTTTAAAATTGAAAATAGAAAATATTTACGATCTGAATAAGTTTTTTGAATTAAAATTGGATTTTTGTTCACTTCAAGCATCAACAACTATGAAAGGGAATTTGATTTTAAAAAAATATGAACACCTATGAAGAGAAAGGTTGGAAATTGATCGTTTAGCTAAATATATTTCTTATATGATTGTTTTGTAGTTGTATTGCTCGCTTATTTTTACAAATAATAACTCACTAATAGAATTATAGAAAAATTATATGTGCTTACATAAAATATTTTATGCATCAAATTTTTTTACTTAGATCTATCACAACTTTAATTAGAACCTAATATCAAGATCAATAATTCATCAAGTGCTGCAATCAAACCACGTATTCATTGGCCGACACTAAATTGACGTGTGAAAGTAAGTATAGAAATGGCTTTCACACATTGTAATAATGTAAGAAGATTTTTATTTTATTTTTGAAGATTCAAATAAATAAGTTTTAATTCAATAAAAAAGAAAGTGAAGAATAAAAACAAGAAGAATTAAAGATGACCAATCACGTGGTTGAAGGCCTTTATTAGCGACACCCCCCGTAGAAATTGAACAGTGTTTTGTCAATTATTTAGAACTTTCTACGTAGTAAAGTAATAATAATACAAAGTATAAATAAATGATTTTTTAAATTTATTTGTGGTCCAAACTTGTCAATTTATTCCTACTTTTCTCAATTTCTTCCATGTATATCATTTCACTATTTTGAAATATTATATTATTTGACCGATATTTTTCAAATTTTTATCAAAATGTTTTTAATGACTAGAAATTCTAATATATAATATACTTCTTCCGGATACTTCTTCAAATGCCGGGTGTTCTTTTTTTAATTGATGCTAGTGTTCCTGCTAAGCTTGTGCCATTAGTATATAATATTCCTTTGTCTTATATAAATTGATCCATTATATTAAAAATTATTGTGTTGTAGTTGTTTATCTTACTAAATCAAGAAATTATTAATTAATTTTTTTTATATTACCTTTGCAGTGAATTTTTTTTAAAAGTATTACCTAAGAAGTTTTTTAAGGGTGAATTAGTAAAATTATCTTTTGATTTATGATTTCTTAAACACCGTATAAAATAAAAAGTGATCAACTAATTAATATGAAACTGAAAGAATCTATATTTTTTTACCAATATAAATATTGCATAACTCTACTCATTATCAAGGTTTAGATCGTTAGAAGAAATCACTTTATTTCAAACTTATTTTTTAAGAAAAAATAAATTAGAATAAGTACTCTAAATAAAAAAGGTATGAACTTTAAGTTCAAAAATTATACCAATGGGAATATCCTACTAAATATACCAATTCCACCTGGATAACCCCACCCCCAACTCCCTACCCCACCCCACCCCACTCTTGTAATTTCATACTATATAAGTAGATCTTTTTTCACTTTTCAATTTCATATGTGAGTTTTATATACATTGAAGAATACAAAAGAAAGAAAAGAGAGGAAGTTTTATTTTGCGAGAAAGAAAATGGCAGCAGTAGTTGATGCTTGTGTTTGTGAGATTACAAAAATAAGTGAAAAGGTTAGAGCCAAAAGCCTTTTCTTGTTGAAGAAGAAAAAAACAGGGGAAAAAGTGGAAGAAAGGCAGAATTCTTCTTCTTCTTCTGTAGAAATGGCAGCAGAGAGCAAAAATGATAACATAATGTGTGAAGCAACTGTATTTTTGCTAATGGATCGTTTTGCACCTTGTTGATCAACTACCAGCTAGTAGTATGTATAAATATAATGTTCTTGTATATGTATATGATATATATATTATATGAATTTCTTTTTTTTATAATTTAACTTCTTGTTAACAAGAGTTGTACTTAATGAAAGAAGCTTATTCTTATCATCATACTTGGTTATTCCTAATCTTCAAAATAAAAGTGTTTGGCAAATAGATGATGAGGCAATTAAGGTCAAGTTCGCACGGAGCTAAAATTTGAAGTTTTTAAGCTATAAACATAATATTTTGATCAGAATCATTAAAATCAATCAAACTCATACTTCAATTCTATTGAATTCGATCGAAGATCTCATACCTTAGACCTATTTTAATCTCTAGCTCCGCCCTAATAAATCAAGTGTAGAGAAAGTCACCTCAATAATCTATATTCTAGAAGCCTTAAGTTATGATCCTTTCAGATACATTATTGGAATGAGACTATTATTTACTATGGGTCATGCCAGGCCAGCATATATGTGAAATGTCCAATTGGAATCATCTTCTTTATTCTTTGTGTTGAACTGTTGTGTACATTTACTTTTTCCCATGTAGTGAAAAATGATTATACTAAACTTTTTTTCATTTTTTAATTCTTTAAGTGAATGATAAATTGTATATCGAATAAAAACAAACTAAAATGCCACCAATCACGGTATTTATTTAGCTATATATCCTCCTGTAGGGGATCACTCCAGTTGTTCAATTAACTCTTTGAAATTATTACATGTGTCCTCTCAACAATTTAATGGATCAGATTCTTTACATATTGGCATGTATAATGAAACAAAATATAATATAATATATTATTATCGCAAAAATGTAAATTAAAAAGAGGCGTAGCGTTATGGAACACTATTTTGTCTATTATTTTACAACTTTCTGCGTAATAGAGTGGAATAAACAAAGTAGATTTCATTTGTGGTCCTAATCTAACAAACTAACAACCTAGTCATTTTCTTCCTTATTTTTTCTTCTTATTTTATTTTATCATTTTTACTATTTGCAATTCTCTTCCCTTCTATTTTTTTTTATTTTCACCAATTTTATGAAAATATTACTCAAATGTTCTTTTTAATGACAAAATACTGGAATTGGTTGCTTATGTACCTTCCAGATACATAGATTTTAAGTTAAGAAAATTGAGTAATGAGTCTTGTACTATTCAACCGATATCTAGAAGTTTATCTAACATGAATTGTGATGAGATGATTGGAATCTCTCCACCCTCAATCAAATGACTTGGATTTGAGCCCTGCCTAGAAATGAGGCATGCAATTTATTTAGACTTGAAGCCAAGTTACAAATTGTGAAAACTCAGTATGAATATTCATAAAATTATTGCATATACTCTCAAACTAAGGTATAAAAGTTGAGAATATTCTAGTAAAATATAATATACCAAATCCCTGTATCTGGTGGGCAGATTCTGCCTGTAGATTTTTTTTTCCTAAAACCACTCAATTCCACCAGGACCACTCCACCCCTACCCCTACCCACACCCTCACCTTCTGATTTCATACTATATAAGTAGGCCCTTTTTCACTTTCCAATTTCATATCTGAGTTTTACATATTTTGAAGATTACAAAATCAAGAGAAAAGGGAAAAAGAGAGGAACTTTTTTTTCCAAGAAAGAAAATGGCAACAGTAGTTGATGCTTGTGTTTGTGAGATTACAAAGATAAGTGAAAAGGTTAGAGCCAAAAGCCTTTTTCTGTTGAAGAAGAAAAAAACAGGGGAAAAAAGCAAAAAAAGGCAGAAATTTTCTTCTTCTTCAGAAATGGCAGAGAGCAAAAATGATAGCACAATGTGTGAAGCAACTATGTTTTTGCTAATGGACCGTTTTGCACCTTGTTGATACCATCAAGTACCTAATTGTAGTATTTATATATATAGTTTTTGTTACATTGTTTTATACTAGTTGTATGTATAAATGTTCTTGTATATGTATTTGATGTAAGAATTTCTTTTCTTATATATATATATATATATATATATATATATTAAATTTGTTTGTCTACGATTCGATCTTGGTACTATAGTCTATTAACAATCAAAGTCGAAGCAAGGGCCTATTATTAAAGCTAAAAAGAATGTATCTCTCATTGAATGATAAATGCCATTTTATAAGATTGTATCTGCAAAATGCAGAAGAGAGCCTCATGTTTGTTGCAGAAGAAAAAAACTCAACATCTTAGTAAAGTGAATTTCTCCTATGTAGTAAACTATGTACAGCTATAAAAGGCAAAGTGAACTCAACAAAAGAGTGATAGTAACTATGTAATTGTGCTTGCCTCCAGTGTTGTGCTAGCCTCAGGGCTTTCTGTAGTCCAATCGCGCATAACTTTACGCCTTTCTTCATTCCATTTAAGAATTTCCCTAGTGTATTTAAGAGCTCCATCAACACTATCAGCCTCTAAAGCAGTTAGCTGTGAAACAAACAGTTTTCGCTCTGTGATGGAATTATATAGGCGTTTAAACTTCACAGCTATGTAATGATAAGCACGTTGAGCCAACGAGGGGTTGTTGTTGCTGGTCTTGCTGTTGGGATGACGACTGATCACTGGATTGAAGTCCTGAAACCATTCACATTCAGAAAGGGGACACTCGTCAATTATTTCCTCTAGTATGTCAAACTTGTTCAATAGTAAGAGGCAATGTTTCTGGGCAAAAGCTGGATGACTGACGAAATTCTCAAAGAGCTTCTTGCTTTCCATCATCTTGTTTGTGCAAACTCCATTGTAGTCTTCTAGATACTCGGTGTACTCCGTCAAGGAAACACAAAAGATAACAAGGTCAACATCCTCAAACATGTCCAACCACTTGCAGTTTTTCCCTACACAGCTCGCGTGTACTCTTATTAGTTGGTACCTACATTAGAAAAAGGATGAGTTGATGGAAGAGAGCTCGCAAGTACTCTTATGAAAGTTGTAGCCTGGAGAGAGAGCTGACCTCATTGAGGATGAATACTGATCAACTGCCTCCATGTAACTATCCTGAGTTGGATTAGGGAACGAAAAGTCCATGGACGCTACCCCATTGGACGAAGTAATGCCCTCAGCATATAACTTATCCATATCAGAAGGGTTGTAGTCTACCTTTGAAATCTCAACAGCCTATGGAAGACAATAATTTTGTAAGTTGTAGATGAAAACAAAGAACAGAAAAATAATGTCCTATCAATCCCTAATTGAGAATGAGGCAGAAGACAAAGAGTAACCTACATGATCTAAGAAATAATTGGCAACTCTCGGAAGCATTTCTAGCTCATTTCTCCGCTGATATGTGGCCTGAAATGCTTTATGCTTCCACAACTCCTCAACTACGGCTGAGTACTCTCGAGTGGCAGCAGGAAAAATGACCTCCAAATTTCCTAACATCATAGCTTGAAGAAGCCAATCTGAAAAGTTTTTCAGTCTAGGGTTGATGGAATAGACATTCTCTTCTTTAATCTCTTCTTCAATCAGGTCTGGAAGCGCTGTTAGCAAAGATGATACTCAGATACTAATGCTTGATAGGATCAAATGATTTCATAGATAAAAGTGATTTGAAACAAAAAATTTACAGTATACTTAATGAGAAAACATAAACTCTTTGTGATAAAAAAACAATACTGTGAAAATCATGTTTATGATTTGTATCTCAGAAGCGAAAAAACTAAATTCAGAATAGTAAATAACATAACTATAGCAACACTAGATCCACATATCAACAGTCTTTAAATCGTTGACATCAACATCTTTAGGATTCTATATATCAGTCTTTGTACTGCTCAATTGCTCAACATTAATATTAAAGGCAATGCAGACTTAAGTGGACAAAAGGAGGGTTCTGAGAAACATTGACGTTGCATTTCTAAAGAGGTAAAGACAAAAGGTAACAGAAAGCTCAGTTCATACGGAGGTCAGGAACAACTATTAAATTCTATACCTGAAGGGCCAGGTTCATCAAGCCGTTTCTTCCTCATTTCAACACGGTACTCCTCTTCAAATCTTTCACGTCCCTCGAGGAGTATAGCAATATATCTATACAAATTTCTTTGAATCGTGTACGTAATGTTCTGATGCTCTTCTTCTGAGAAAGGAACGCGATATACAATTTTGGCCTGAAATAGAAATAAATGCCTGTCTTAGCAACATATGTTATCAAGAATCACTCATCCTCTATACATTTTAAGTGATATAAATGCATTTAATCAGAATACATATATCTTCATTCAGAATATTATAATTAAATATGTAATCAAATCCATTACTTGGGTTCTTATTAGCATAAGCCAGGATGGTAACAACCCAACAGTTGCAGTTTTGACTTCATTAGTAACCACACATCATGCATTCTATTTGCGATCTAGCATAACTATGTAAGTAACCAGCTTATACGTGCGATTCCGATGAATAAACTACATAGATTTAGTTAAGCTGGCTATCAACTGAGTCAAAGAAACATAGAGAAATGTCTTCTTTTTAAGTGAAATGTTCCACCCATACTGTACCTGTTTGAACAGAGTACTTGTTCCCGATTGATCACAACCAGCAAGAAGTAGTTTATTCAGTTTTTTGCTAACTGTGCTGCAAGGGTCACCTGCATCCAATCCATTTCTAACTTCTTCACCAGAAGAATTTGCAGACGCAGGAGGAATAGGCAATCTCAAAGCATGGCAAAGCAGCTTGTGTGTAGTCTGTAAAAAGATCACGATTATCAGAGAATGTGAGAAAAAGTAGGTAAAGAGGTCAAAAGAAATGAATGGATGAACAGAAACCAACCTTGTCCCATATTTTTCCAACTACATTGTTCATGCCCTCTTCCTGGCAGGATCCGTCAGCACTGAGCCAAAAACAAACATCTCCTTCACAGTTTATTCCTGCCAGCTGAAATGATTTGACAACATGCTAAGAACTCCAACCGCAAGCATTCATAATTTCAGAAGACTTAAGTAGTTCAGAAGTCAAACCTTCAACATATACAGCTCTACTTGCGTAATTTCTCGATTGTTTATCACAATATTTGTGTTTCCCTTGCTAGCATCTTTCTTAATTGTATCACCAACAGCTAGTTGGGGAGAAATTATCTGACAAGGCTTATGTCCCTCCTGTTTTATTAAGCCAAAGCAAAAAAAATATCAGGCAAACAACAAGATTAATTTCAATGCCAAAAAATGAAAGTCGGATCTAATTAACACTCACCTTTCCCCATAATCCAGACACTTTGTCATACCAGTAATTCCCTGGTCTCAACTTCTTTGGTGGATATGCACAGCTTTGCAAGTCGACCAACTCTCTAAGGGAAAGACGTTTCCCATTCACGCTCCACGAGATGGGGTGGAAGCTGATTAGCTTGACATGACTTCTCCAATTCCATAATCTCATCCATTTGCCGTTTACTTAACAGCCTCTTGAGCATTGCAGAACACTTGCCTAAAGAATCTCGCTTCGATTCATTAATACGGTAACCAATGCAAGTACTACATTTTCTTCCTTCTGGCATTGCCCCCATTGCTCTCAACACACAATTGATACAATACTTTGCACCACAAGCTATGCCTACTTCCCTCTCAGTGAATCCTTTCCATTTATGACACCGAAAACACTTCTTGGAATCACTGCTTACTATTGGTTTTTCGGGAAACATTCGTGGCTCGTCCTCATCACTGTCGGTAGAAACATCACTTGATTGAGTTTCACAGAAAGTTACAACAGCTGTTCTGCAACCTTGGTTGCCAGCAACCAACATCTGGAGAGCTCAAAATTGGTTCCTCAGGTTCTATGCCAACGGAGCTCGGATGACTCACAAACCTTACTTCTTCCTTGCATTCATCTACCAAGTCCTCAACATCCGAACTTCCTGACAGCTCACGGGAGTTATCATGACTGTCAGAAAATCCTAAGGTACCAGAACTTTCAATTCCATCTGATCTTCTGTAGGCATGATCATTCTCACTTCATATAATTAAAGGTTAATAGTACTAAGTTAGGTAACACAAGAACTAAAATAGAATATAGTCTTAACACGGGACTAAAAATGCCGTTTTCCCAAAATTATATGTGGTTACATAAATTTTTTTTACTTAGATCTATCACAACTTTAATTAGAACCTAATATCAAGATCAATAATTCATTAAGTGCTGCAATCAAACCACGTATTCATTGGCCGACACTAAATTGACGCGTGAGAGAAAGTATAGAAATGGCTTTCACACATTGTGGGTGTGTTTGGTATGAAGGAAAATGTTTTCCATCAAAAATGTTTTCCTGGAAAACAAGTTGATTTTTGACTTATTTTCTCATGTTTGGTTGGTGAGTAGAAAATATTTTCCGAAAAAGATTTTTAGTGTTTGATTTATGAATGAAAAATATTTTTGAGAAATATCTTTTATTTTTACTAGAGTAGAAAATAATTTTTGAAATTGAAAATAGTTTTTAAAAACAAACTTCAATTTTTTTGGGGGGTGGGGGGTGGTAGGGAGTGGGTGAAGGGGGGGTCGAGGGTAGGGGTGAAAAATTGAAAATTTTTGAAGTTGAAAATATTTTTGAAAAACAAACTTAAAATTATTTTTTTGGGGTGGGGGGGGAGCTGGTAGGGGGGTGGGTGGGTGGGGGTCGAGGGTAGGGGTGAAAAAATGAAATTTTGAAATTGAAATATTTTTTTAAAAACAAACTTGAAATTTTATTTTTATTTTTGGGGAGGGGGGGTGGGGGGCTGGTAGGGGTGGTGGGTGGGGGTTCTAGGGGTGAAAAAATGAAATTTTGAAATTAAAAATATTTTTTTAAAAAAAACTTAAATTTTTTGTGGGGGGGGGGGGGGGGGGAGGGCTGTGGGGGTGCGTGGGGGGCTGGGTAGGAGGTGGGGGGGGTCAAGGGTAGGATGAAAAAATGAAATTTTGAAGTTGAGAATATTTTTTAAAAACAAACTTAATTTTTTTTTTTTTTGGGGGGGGTTAGGGGTGGGTGGGTGGGGGGTTGGGTAGGAGGTGGGTGGGGGTCGAGGGTAGGGTGAAAAAATGAAATTTTGAATTTGTAAATATTTTTTTAAAAACAAACTCAATTTTTTTTGGGGGTGGGGGGTGGGTGAGTGACCGGAAAAGGGGTGGGTGATCGAGGATCGGGATGAAAAATAAAAATTTGAAGTTGAAAATATTTTTTAAAAAACAAACTTAAATTTTTTTCTTTTTGAAAGGGGTTGGGGGCTGATAAGGGGGTTGATGTGGGGGGGGCCAGGGTAGTGGAGTGGGTGGTAAAAAAAAAAAATTGAAATTAGAAATATCTTTTTAAAAAACGATTTTTAATATTTTTTGGAGGGTGGGGGTAGGGGTGAGGGTGGGGTAAAAAAATTGAATTTAAAAATAAGCTTTAAATTTTTTATTTTTATTTTTTAGGGGGGGGGGGGGGGGGTTGGTTGGGGGTGGTTTGAGGGTAGGGACAAAATAAATTAATTTTTTCAACAAAAAAATAATTGTAATTTGAAGTTGGAAGAGAGTTTTGGAAAATGTTTTCCTTAAGTTTAGAAGAGAAGTCATTTTCCTTAAATTTGAGGAAAATGAGTTGATTATGAAAACATTTTCCAAAACATTTAGCCCAATCAAACATGAAAAAATTGGAAAATGTTTTCCTTCATACCAAACACACCCTGTAATAATGTAAGAAGATTTTTATTTTATTTTTGAAGATTCAAATAAATAAGTTTTAATTCAATAAAAAAGAAAGTGAAGAATAAAAACAAGAAGAATTAAAGATGACCAATCACGTGGTTGAAGGCCTTCCTTCATAAGCGACACCCCCGTAGAAATTGAACAGTGTTTTGTCAATTATTTAGAACTTTCTACGTAGTAAAGTAATAATAATACAAAGTATAAATAAATGATTAAAAAATTTTGTGGTCCAAACTTGTCAGTTTATTCCTACTTTTCTTCAATTTCTTCCATGTTTATCATTTCACTATTTTGAAATATTATATTATTGACCCAGTGTTTTTCAAATTTTATCAAAATGTTTTTAATGACTAGAAATTCTAATCTATAATATACTTCTTCCGGATGCTTTCAAATTAAAATTTTAGTAGCCAAATGTAAAAATCCATGCCCATAAGTTATGGCTTATGCTACTTCAAATGCCGGGTGTTCTTTTTTTAATTGATGCTAGTGTTCCTGCTAAGCTTGTGCCATTAGTTTATGATAGTCCTTCTTCTCATATTAGTTGTCATTATATTAAAAATTATTGTATTGTATTAGTTGTCTATTTTACTAAATCAAGAAAATATTAATTAATTTTTTTTTATATTACCCTTGCAGAATATTTTTTTAAAGTGTTACCTAAGAAGTTTTTTTAAGGGTGAATTAGTAAAATTATCTTTTGATTTATGATTTCTTAAACACCGTATTAAATAAAAAGTGATCAACTACTATGAAACTGAAAGAATCTATATTATTTTACCAATATAAATATTGGATAACTCTACTCATTATCAAGGTTTAGATCGTTAGAAGAAATCACTTTATTTCAAACTTATTTTTTAAGAAAAATTAAATTAGAATAAGTACTCTAAATAAAAAAGGTATGAACTCAAAGTTCAAAAATTATACCAATGGGAATATCCTACTAAAGTATACCAATTCCGTGTAGTGTGCCTATCGATTTTATTTAATTTTATTTTGCTACTAAACCACTCAATTCCACCTGGACAACCCCACCCCCAACTCCCTACCCAACCTTGTAATTTCATACTACTATATAAGTAGAACCTTTTTCACTTTTCAATTTCATATGTGAGTTTTATATACTTTGAAGAATACAAAAGCAAGAAAAAGAGGAATTTTTTTCAAGAAAGAAAATGGCAGCAGTAGTTGATGCTTGTGTTTGTGAGATTACAAAAATAAGTGAAAAGGTTAGAGCCAAAAGCCTTTTCTTGTTGAAGAAGAAAAAAACAGGGGAAAAAGTGGAAGAAAGGCAGAATTCTTCTTCTGTAGAAATGGCAGCAGAGAGCAAAAATGATAACATAATGTGTGAAGCAACTGTATTTTGCTAATGGATTGTTTTGCACCTTGTTGATCAACTACCAGCTAGTAGTATGTATAAATATAATGTTCTTGTATATGTATATGATATATATATGAATTTCTTTTTTTTTATAATTTAGCTTCTTGTTAACAAGAGTTGTACTTAATGAAAGAAGCTTATTCTTATCATCATACTTGGTTATTCCTAATCTTCAAAACAAAAGTGTTTGGCAAATAGATGATGAGGAAATTAATGTCATATCAATTAGGTCCGCACAGAGGGAGCTAGAATTTGAAAAATTTTAAGTTATAAACATAATATTTTGATCAGAATCATTAAAATCAATCAAACTCATACTTCAATTCTATTGAATTCGATCGAGATCTCATACCTTAAACTTATTTTAATCTCTAGCTCCGCCTTAATAAATCAAGTGTAGAGAAAGTCACCTCAATAATCTATATTCTAGAAGCCTTAAGTTATGATCCTTTCAGATACATTATTGGAATGAGACTTTTATTTATGGGTCATGCCAGCATATTACTATATATAATAAGTGAGAATAACTACTACTTACCACATGACAAGTGTTGAATGATATATGTTTCATAGTGTTGTACATTCTTCTTTTATGGTTGTATCTTTAAAATTTATATTATTAGACAATTTAACACCATTAATTACCTACTACTTTATTAGCCAAAAAGTTTGACCTCATTTGGGCCCATTTTTTATTTATATGTTTTCAATTTTCAATATATGTTGTCTATCTAATTCTTTTTTTCAACCTTTTATTTTAAACTTCTTGAAATTTAATTACCTATTTATTACTCTCTCTATGCACTTTTAATTGTTATGAGTTCCTTTTTAGAGTCAAACTATATGAATTTTAACTAATATTTTACAATGTGTTTTTTCATCATATTCATAGGCAAAAAATTACAATTTATAGTACTTTTTGTATAGATTTTGCATATTTAATTTTATTTTTTTAAATATCGAATTAATACATTCTGATTTAACTTTGAAAATTAATCAAATGGACTTTCAAAAAGTGCAACATGACAAATACAAGTGGACGGAGAGAGTATATTTTAGCTACAAAATATATTAGAGGTACAACTTTTAAAAAAAAAATAAAAATTTATTGCGTTGACTCTTGAAATCTTATCATTGTCATATGAATTTGAACAAATTATATATTATTAAAAGTTACATAAAAGATGCTATAAATCACAATAATTAGCAATTAAAAATATTTTTAAATCATATAAGAAATTTGGTTGACTAATTGGAATAGAATAAGTAACATGTACTATTTGAAAATAACGTCAAAATTTATAGAATTCACAATAAATTAACAACTGAAAATATTTATGATTATTCACGTGAATTGAAACATGAGTAACCTATATTATTCAAAACTAACGCAAAAATACTATAAATCACAACAATTTAATAACTTCAAATATATTTTTAAGAAAACATATAAAAAATCGTTTGATCTTCAAATTTCATTTATATCACATAAATTAAAACAAAAAAAAAATATTTATTGGGCCCGTGCTGGCACGGGCACCAAATATCTATATATATGTGTCACAAATGGAAAAGTCTCAATCAAGGAAGCAACATATATCATTTACATGACTTAAAAAGCATTAAAAATTACAATAATTACCAATTTAAAATATTTAAAAGCTATATAATAAAATACGTTGACTCTCAGAATTCTATCAGGCTCACATATATTGGGACAGAAAAAATAACACATATCATTTTAAAATTATCAAAAAAGTATTATAAATAATAATAATTAACAACTTAAAATATCTAAAAGACATTTTAAAAGGGTTAATTTTGTAATTTTATCCATATCACATAAATTAAGACAAAGTGACCAGTAATGTACGTTATTGAAAGTTACATAAAAATATTATAAATCACAATAATTAATAACTTAAAACATTTTAAAAAAAAATATGAAAATTTGGATGACTCTCCAAATTTCATTTGTGTCACATAAATTGAGACAACAAAAATAACATATATTGGGTCCATTTTAATTTATTTGTCTTATTTTTTATTTTATTTTATATTTAAAAATTGCATAAAAATATTATAAATCATGATAATTGACAATATAAAATATGTTTTGAAAAAAAAACAAAAAATTTCACTGATTCTTGAAGTGAATTTATCGTAAAAATACTATAAATCATGATAATTGACAACAAAAAAGATTTCAAAAATGTTATATGTGGGTAGTCTTATTATGCCTTAAATAACGTCAAAGAAAGTACAGATTTGTGATAAAAAAAACTTATTCCTTTATCCACGCAAATAATCGCTTCAAAAACTCGATTATTATCCCAAAACATATCATTTATATTATTGGGCCCGTGCATAGCACGGATAACATTATCTAGTCATATATATATGTATGAAATGTCCAATTGGAACCGACTTTTTTATCCATCTTATTTATTCTTGTGTTGAACTGTTGTGTACATTTACTTTTTCCCATGTAGTGAAAAATGAATATACTAACTATATATAAACTTTTTTCAAAAATTTCAATTTTTAATTCTTTAAGTGAATGGTAAATCGTATATCGAATAAAAAACAAATTAAAATGCCACCAATCACGGTATTTATTTAGCTATATATCCCCCTGTAGGGATCACTCCAGTTGCTCAATTAACTCTTTAAAATTATTACATGTGTCCTCTCAATAATCTAATGGATCAGATTCTTTACATATTGGCATGTGTAATGAAACAAAATATAATATAACATATTATTATCGCACAAATGTAAATTAAAGAGGCGTAGAGTTATGGAACACTATTTTGTCTATTATTTTACAACTTTCTGCGTAATAGAGTGGAATAAACAAAGTAGATTTCATTTGTGGTCCTAATCTAACAAACTAACAACCTAGTCATTTTCTTCCTTATTTTTTCTTTCTATTTTATTTTATCATTTTTACTATTTGCAATTCTCTTCCCTTCTACTATTTTTTATTTTCACCAATTTTATGAAAATATTACTCAAATGTTCTTTTTAATGACAAAATACTGGAATTGGTTGCTTATGTACCTTCCAGATACATAGATTTTAGTTTAAGAAAATTGAGTAATGAATTTTGTACTATTCAACCGATATCTAGAAGTTTATCTAACATGAATTGTGGTGAGATGGTTGGAATCTCTCCACCCTCAATCAAATGACTTGGATTCGAGCCCTGCCTAGAAATGAGGCATGCAATTTATTTAAACTTGAAGCCAAGTTACAAATTGTGAAAACTCAGTATGAATATTCATAAAATTATTGCATATACTCTCAAACTAAGGTATAAAAGTTGAGAATATTCTAGTAAAATATAATATACCAAATCCCTGTATCTGGTGGGCAGATTCTGCCTGTAGATTTTTTTTTCCTAAAACCACTCAATTCCACCAGGACCACTCCACCCCTACCCCTACCCACACCCTCACCTTCTGATTTCATACTATATAAGTAGGCCCTTTTTCACTTTCCAATTTCATATCTGAGTTTTACATATTTTGAAGATTACAAAATCAAGAGAAAAGAGAAAAAGAGAACTTTTTTTTCCTAGAAAGAAAATGGCAACAGTAGTTGATGCTTGTGTTTGTGAGATTACAAAGATAAGTGAAAAGGTTAGAGCCAAAAGCCTTTTTCTGTTGAAGAAGAAAAAAACAGGGGAAAAAAATATGGAAGAAAGCAAAAAAAGGCAGAATTTTTCTTCTTCTTCAGAAATGGCAGAGAGCAAAAATGATAGCACAATGTGTGAAGCAACTATGTTTTTGCTAATGGACCGTTTTGCACCTTGTTGATACCATCAAGTATCTAATTGTAGTATTTATATATATAGTTTTTGTTACATTGTTTTATACTAGTTGTATGTATAAATGTTCTTGTATATGTATTTGATGTAAGAATTTCTTTTCTTATATATATATATATATTAAATTTGTTTGTCTACGATTCGATCTTGGTACTATAGTCTATAACAATCAAAGTCGAAGCAAGGGCCTATTATTAAAGCTAAAAAGAATGTATCTCATTGAATGATAAATGCCATTTTACAAGATTGTATCTGCAAAATGCAGAAGAGAGCCTCATGTTTGTTGCAGAAGAAAAAAACTCAACATTTTAGTAAAGTGAATTCCTCCTATGTAGTAAACTATGTACAGCTAAAAGGCAAAGTGAACTCAACAAAAGAGTGATAGTAACTATGTAGTTGTGCTGGCCTCCAGTGTTGTGCTAGCCTCAGGGCTTTCTGTAGTCCAATCGCGCATAACTTTACGCCTTTCTTCATCCCATTTAAGAATTTCCCTAGTGTATTTAAGAGCTCCATCAACACTATCAGCCTCTAAAGCAGTTAGCTGTGAAACAAACAGTTTTCGCTCTGTGATGGAATTATATAGGCGTTTAAACTTCACAGCTATGTAATGATAAGCACGTTGAGCCAACGATGGGTTGTTGTTGCTGGTTTTGCTGTTGGGATGACGACTGATCACTGGATTGAAGTCCTGAAACCATTCACATTCAGAAAGGGGACACTCTTCAATTATTTCCTCTAGTATGTCAAACTTGTTCAATAGTAAGAGGCAATGTTTCTGGGCAAAAGCTGGATGACTGACGAAATTCTCAAAGAGCTTCTTGCTTTCCATCATCTTGTTTGTGCAAACTCCATTGTAGTCTTCTAGATACTCGGTGTACTCCGTCAAGGAAACACAAAAGATAACAAGGTCAACATCCTCAAACATGTCCAACCACTTGCAATTTTTCCCTACACAGCTCGCGTGTACTCTTATTAGTTGGTACCTACATTAGAAAAAGGATGAGTTGATGGAAGAGAGCTCGCAAGTACTCTTATGAAAGTTGTAGCCTGGAGAGAGAGCTGACCTCATTGAGGATGA